TGAATAAAATCAAACAAAGGCGCTCTCTAATTATTGTGAAAAAAAATGAAGCAAATCTTGAGCGTGTGCACGACAGAGATAGAGAAGCAGAAACAGTTTGGTTTTTAATGATTTGGCAGGAAGGAAGACATGAGATCTGAGAGGTTCAAAAAACACTTGCCAAAAATCAAAAGCAAAAAAATAATACCTGCATTTTAATACGGCAGTTGTTGGTTTTTAACATTTAGAGGTTCCTACTGCGACGAGGGACAAAGATCGTAAATGCTCTTACGATTATTGCGGTCTCCGAGAGTGGTACTACCCAAAAAACTGGATATAACCCGAAAAGATCCAAACTGATGCATCTCGGAGTGAATCAGTGAGGAGAAAAAACCCCACAATTTCGATGCTAATTTAATATTTTTTTGCACTTATACTTAAATACTCGTTATAAATGCTATGTGCATATATTTATTTATGTCATGCAGTACTTAAAAGTGTGCGTGGTACAAGGGGGAAGCACTGGAGTGGTGTACCAGTGAACAGCAAATTGAGCGATTAATTTTAAATACTTATCACATAATAGACAGAAAAAATTGAATTTATCCCACATTGCGAATTACTATTGTTTTACAGTAATAATAATAAAAAGGCAATTATTTCACAGAGCAACTTTTCAAAAGATCAAAGCCGATGGAGATAATCTGCCATAGCCAAGATTTCCGCGTGACCTGGTATTTCTTCTGTTGGTTATATTCGCGCTCTCTATCAATGAAATAAAATTAAAAAATTTCATCATATATCATTTGATGAAAATTTAACAAATGCGTAAACAGCATTACAATTAATTTGATAAATTTTGATTTTAAACCCCTCGCGCGCTCAGGCTCCATTTGGCACTCATGCAAAATCCTAATCAGTGAAAAAAAAAATGAAATAATCTATAATTTGTCATGGGTGAACAGCAAAAATCGCAAAACAATATTTCAGAGAAGGAAAATTCACGAAATAGAAAAATTCCTCGGTTTCGCTTGACAAGGAAAAAAAATTTTTGTCGCATGGCACTTTTTCATATCCTTCTTCCTCTTCCTCTTCGGCTAGCACCTCGTTCCCCTCCCTAATTCAATCTTATCGAAGGGGCAAAAAAAAAATTAAATCTCTGCACGTCAAAAATGCACCATTTCCCGTCGAGGGTGTGGAGTTGGGTTACGTGGTTTCTTTCGTTTCTTTACCTCCACTCCAGATAATTGATCAATATCCGGCGTCTTCATATTAACTGTTTCCGGGTTTTCTTCGTGAAATATTTGCAAAGCTTCCAGGCCTGCTCGTCTTGCAACTTCCTCATGCAACTGCTTCAGCGGAGTGTCCTGTGGGCAACCATCGCTGAAATTTTTTTAAAAATCCGCTAAAATTAAAAAAAAATTTAAAACTTGTTTTAGTTTACTAGATATGTTTTTAACAGATTTTATAAATTCACAGTGGATTTTATCGGCGTGACTACAGGGGAAAGCAGTAAAACAAGTAATCGTAGAAATGTGGAAGATGAAGAAAACTTACTTGTCAAAATGACCGTATGGGTTTCTTTGCGAAAGTTTTGCATTGCACACATAACAAAAGAAGGTACCACACGGACACGTCATCTTGTTACATCCTGTTTCTTTAGTAATGCTGGAAAGGGAAAACCAAAAATTATCTTGTTATAATCAATTTCTGACAAAAAAGAAGCTGGAATAACTAAAAAACTTTGAACACTGCGCTAATTTTTGCCAAAGAGCTGAAGAAGCACGACAGCTCAACCCCGCCAATGGAACAACCAAATTCCCAACAATTCATTCATTCCTTTTTCTGATCGTAAATTAGTACTGGTGCACGCCGAGTAGACACACCCGGTGACAGTTAACTTCAAAGCAACCCTTTGAGAAACAAGCCATTGAAACCCTCGTTTATGGGTGATTACCGCTCCACTGGCAG